TGAGACAAATCAATTGGTATAAAGAAAATAATTAATAATATATATGTGTACTTTCAGAGATGATAGCTTGTAATACTTTAAATATCCTACTTTGTATATATATATATAAAAAAAAAACAATATTGCTTTTATAATAAAGATAAATTTAAATAATGCAAATCTGGCAAATATTAATTATTTTTGTGTATATTGCCGGGGCTGATATAATATTTTTCTTTCACTCTATTATTCATATTAGGTCAATTGATCCTAATTTAAAATATCCAAGTATAGGAACGCTCGTCGTAAGAACTTTCTGTTTTTAAATGGCCTACTAATTAGTTTGTGGTAATTAGAATGTGAAAATGTGAAAATAGAAAATCCATTTTCGTAATATACACAATCTTCTTAATAAAAAGAAAAAAAACTATTTATTTGATCAATTTTACACTACGCTTAAGAATGTTTTAACTGTACAACAGTAGCAAAATGCTGTAAAAATTTAAAAAGAAACATGTTTCTTCATGTTTATACTGTTTGAAGAATCAAATAAATAAATCTGGATTATAATTAAAGTATCACAAAATAATATGATTTTTAACGTCTTCATAAAAGAAAATTTTAATTAATATCTTTCCTAATTTATATGACAAGAACTTTTGATTGCAAAAACCTTCTGAAATCAATTGCAAGAAACAAAAAAGAAAACGAATAATTTGCAGGAAAATTTTGGATTTTTATAAGTATTTCGCTACAATTTCTAAATAACTTTTAAACAAATGTATGTAAATCAATTTTTTGTGCATAAATATTTATTAGAATTTTAATACTTGATTGAACTTTAATACTTCAATACACGTAAAAATTTTTATTTTGTTGGCAATGTTTTTTTTGTCAAATTTGTCAATAAGTGTCACAATACCTACGCAATTTTCCATAAGAATCAATATACAAACACACTTTAAACTTAAATAATTTCCAAACCGTTAAGAGAATTCGTGTTTTCTTGTTAAAAAATATGCCGGTTAAAATTTTTGTGTTAAATATTTAACACATTCATGTGTTAATTCAACATATTGCTGTTGTGCGAATTGAATCAAGTGTTAAATTATTAACAGAAAGGAAGTGTAAGAATAACACAATATGAACCTATTTTTAATTTTACACAATGGATATGTTCCGTATTATTAGTTGTGTTATTAGTATTATTGACAGGATTTATCTAGTAAAATTTACAGAAAAAAATGATTTTATTCTACAATAGGAGTGAGAGTGACTACAGACCGTCGATAACATTTTTCCAAATTATATATAATTTTATCATTAAAAATATATCGATTTTACACAAAATTTATTTCAAATTACTTTGAGGCTTGCATTTATTTTGTGTTAAAATATTAACGTAGTATTAGTGTCACCATTTAAAATATCCATATTATGTTAAATTAACACAAAAATCTGTGTGGATCGTTTAGACATCTGTTAAATTTAACATACATTTTTCAACTATGCAGATACTCCGAAGAAATAGTAGAAGTCTATGAAATTGTCATGCTTTTGTCAATATTTTGACATATGACATATTACATCCTTAAGCAAATTTATGTTTTGTACAACTTTTTACGTTTTTGCTTTATTTACTATGTGGTATAATTGGTATCTCCGGCAAGTGCTCCTTGTACACTTTGCATTCGTTTTTTGCGGAATAGTGAATTTCGGCCCTTGTAAGTTGCCTGCGCTAAAAAGCCCTTCACGGCGCGGCCGCGCTGAGTTTGATACTTGAAACGATAAATTATGAACTTCTCTGTTTCAGCGTGGATCCTGGGATGGTTCATGTGCAAAGCGGTTGCTTATATACAGGGCGTCTCTGTAGCGGCCTCCGTCTACAGCCTAGTCGCGGTTTCCTTAGACAGGTACGTGCTACTCCTGCTTTTTATATCCGCGCGGCGTGATACACGCGGGAAAGCGAGTATCTCACATGATGTTGGCCTTCATTAGTCTAGGTTGTGCCCCTTTTCTTTCTTTTTTTTTTTGCTACGCGATATGCTAATTCGGAGGCGGTGCCGTTTACATCGATATTTTATTTCTGACATATCGTACATTGAAGGCGAGATTAAGGTTGCCTTAAACTTTAATAGATGAGAATGGTGGTCGTGCCTGTGTCCTATATTCGAGATCATTTTATCATTGGAACGAATTAATTAACCACGCAATTTTCAATAAAAATTTTCACAAGCGAACCTGTTATACGAGAGCCGAATAAATTAAGTCCGGGCAATTATATAATAATTATCCGGACAAACAATTTTTCCACCGTTTTATTATTGAGACACTTTCGGAAAGTTTTATTAAAATTATACACAAATCAGATGTTTATGTCTGATGAAATCTAACATTTTCTTGCGCCAGTCGTCTCGCAACACATGAGCTCAGCATCGTGACACAATTATTTTCTCATCAGCGATGCAATGCGATCATAATTATCGATAATAATTAAAAACTTCCACGCAACGCACACATTGTCGACATAATGTGGTACTAATAAAGTCAACAATACGTTTCAGTGTGTGTCTCGCGCGATATATTGTAATATATGCCGCGTTATTGGCATATCCTTATTACGCGTAGAGACACTTTATCAACTCTCAATAACGCATAATTTTATCTTTATATCAATTTCGCATGAAAATCACATTTGCATTTGCATAAATTGACTCTAATAATACGCGCGCGGCTTCATACGTGAGACTCTTGTCTTACAAGAGAGAGAATGAAATGTGGATCTCGTATTTCATTCACGGCGCAAATTATTGCTATTGCCATAAAGATGCACCTGCTCGACCGAATGGGTACAAGAAGCTCTTGAGAAAGGGCGAAGTTCTCGGAATATGCGATTTGGAAGTTTCGACGATATGTAAAAGTACAAAATTATTATTCCCGATTGAAAATATAACGAATTGGATGGGAAAGCTTAAAGAAGCGGAGGACTTACGAGGGCACGCCTGAATTTTAGCAAACGACGACTCGTGCTATCAATTTCACGTTAGAAGACTGGAGGAGGAACGAGAGGCTCCTTCGTCGCGCGAACCCCTAGGAATAGTTTTATAGGATCTTCGGAAACGATCGATCTTCCGGGAATTGCTCGGCGAAAGGGATCGTGCCGAACTTGTGGAATTGTCTTTTCGCCTAACCACGTGCGCGAATGCATCTTCCCTTACTCCCGTCACTCTTGGCGGACGACGCAGCCAAGAGTGCCATGACGAAAATATATCTTCTTCCTGTCCCATATGCTGCTCGTTTCGCGACGGTAAAGGACGACAGGACGGCGCTCTCGTGAATGAGATTTCCCATTAAAATCGCAGCTACGGTGTTCCGCAAACTATCTCAAATTAGGCGCGCGTCTATCTTTTATTTAGCGAGATAAATTTCATGGGCAAAAAAATATATTTTATTCGCGAGCGCGTCGTTGAAACTTTCAAAGTGGAGTTTTAATGCTGAAAATTTGGCTGCATCTTCATTACGATACAAGATACGCATGTGTATGTGTGCTACGAAATATCGTGTCTGCACAACCACATGCGCGCACAAGGTTTCCTTGCAACAGATAATTAACTACGCTATCAGGACCAATGCAGGACCAAAGAGGATGGTGGTTTGCCATTGACGGCCGATGTTTGATAGATGATGCTATGCATTTCGGTGTCCTCTACATATCGTATCTTATATATGTATATTTGTTCGAACAGGCTCGGATGAAGTATTGATACATGATATTCTTGATATACTTGTGTTATACACTTGCCAGGCGTTTCTCAATGAATGTAATTTGTAATCCGAGTCGTAATATCGGGCCGCGACATTATCTAACCCGGTGCCAATTTAACGGACGCGGAGAGGGAGGGGAGGGGGCGGGGGAAAATGTGACACGATTAATTATGTAACATTTCTCATTGATAAAAGTTTGATTCGCTCTCCGAAAGAGCACCACCGGAGCTCTGTCGAGCGGATTAAATTGCTCCTCTTCCTAATTTCAGACTCTCGCTCTTGACGCCGAATGACAGGAACTGTTCTAATCTCCGTGATTGCCCCGATCATCGTGTCGAACTTCCATAACGAGTTCAAAGGAATAAATTATTCAGATTGCAAAGGATGGCGAACACGAGGTTGCGAAATTTAATCAAAACTAGCGCGATTTCGGTCAATCCAAATTTCGACTCACTACGCAAGCGTAGAATAATATTCGACTCTATATTTATATAATTGTCATGAGATATATAATCCAAATCTATGTTCCGTTGAAAATTCAAGAATCAAATATTGTAATAAAATATTAGCGCTAAAAGTCTAAAATGAATATTTCGAGTTATGAATGAAGCAAATCGAATTTTATACTTTCAATTTTTAAAATTTAATATTTATTAATTTTGCAACGGGCTACATATGCATAATTACTTAAAAAAGAAAAGACATTATATAAAATATCAGATATTTTATATAATTACTCAGCATAAAGCCATTTTGGTACATTAGCCCCGATGGCTGATATATTTTCGTAATAGAAACAAAAAAAATGAAATTATATGATTTTTTTTTATTAATGTATAAAATTAAATTCTTTAATTAAAATTTGTAAAATTGTACCAGTTTAAGTTTATCAAAGTTTTAACAAATTATTCTTTACTCTACTTTAAAATGTCGAGTATCTGGATGCGAAGAACAGAATTTATTGTCAAACCATATTTTTAGAATACAAGAACGCGCTCTCACAAAGAAGTGTTTGTGCGATGCTTGAGAAAATACGAAGAAGGTCAGAGAATCGCGGGTTTAGATCCCGATGGTATTTTTATGAAATGAGTTTTGATATTCATTGGTGAACACCAGCCGCAATCTTTTTTCCGCGAGACATAACACTTATCCCATGCACACGATTGTGTGCGATACTCGTACACTCGCGTGGCGAGTGCGTGTGTGCATGTGTGTGTATCAGATATCGATTCCACAGTGTCTTACATCAGTGGATTATCTTAATTTAATTCTTACGAGATAAATGCTGAAGGGGTTGAAAGCGCACTATTGGCGAGCCGGTGGGACGTTGGGATTGGTATCGCGATAGCCGATTGGTCGCGCGGCTACCTCCACCACGTTCGGTGATCGGCTGACTCAATTGATACGGCATATATCGTCATACCCGATATACCGGGTCACGTGATCAAGTTTATGGTGATTTTTAAAAAATCGCGCGCGGTATATAAGGCTCCCGAGTCGCCGAAACAGGCATAAGCTCACTTACTTTCAAGAAGTAACAAGTAATCCACAACCAATCAACATGTTCAAGCTGGTAAGTCAACACGATTTATCTAAATTACAATTTCTACCGATATCACTCTTCTTCTCTTCGTTTCGTTTACCGATTACGTTTCCATCGTTGGCTCTACGATTAACCATCGACAAGATCGTAAGTGTTATGGGAAATATACATCGCGTCGATCAATCTTTGAAATGTCATTTTCCGAACGATTGCTTTTTTTTTCGAATTTTTGATCGGTCCGCCAGTTTCTACGCCAAACTCAACCGCTTCCGATCAGCCAAAAATCATTATAGATAGTGCCCGACGAAAAGATATAATTTCGAGACCTACATTTCGCGCGCTCTTATTCTCTCGACGAAACGCGCGGGATTTTCTTTTCGTCGGAGGAGTCTCTCTGTCGTCTATAGAGCTCAAGTAAATAGAAGATCCTCTAAAGCCGCGGCAACTCTTTCGTCGTCGCTCCCGCGCCTTCTCTGTGATCGATAGAGAGACGGGCTATCTCGCGCTGCATACACGCTGTATACCGAGGAAGGAAAAAAAGGTTCTTCCCAGCCTCTCTCCCCTCTTTGGCGCTTTTGCTGTGACCTTTACTTTGCTGTGAGCGCGACACGAACCCGCCCTTACGCCGCTCACCGGTCTCGCCGCGGCAACGGCACCTAACTTCACCTTTCAGCGAAAAATCTACGCGAGTAAAATCATTCAAGCATGCACATTGTTAGTCCGTGCGGAATGCAGGCTCGCGCGCTGCAATTTTTTTTTACCGCAATCGACCCCGCGATCTCTTGCGAAACGATTCTCAAGCTCCGCTTTTAATGATTGGTCGATTGTAAATCCCGGGAGACCCGCGAGCGCTCGAATATTCGCTATGAGTATTGCCGAGACAATTGTTAACTATATCGAGCTTTCGATGGAACGTATGGGAGTAGATTAAACGGAAGAGAGTGCATAAATTACTCGACTGACAGTTTCATTAACGTTAAAAGAGAGAGAGAGAGATGCTTTTATAAATCCACTTGACAAATCTTTTTCGTAGGCTGTATTCGCTGCCATCCTGGCTGTCGCCTTTGCCTATCCCGGTGGTCTGACCGGCCATGTCGTCAGCTATGGCGCTGGCCCGATCTCCGCCCCCGCGGTCGTCAAGTCCGCCCCGGTGCTCCTCAAGGCTGCCCCGGTGATCGCCCTTGCTGCACCTGCACCTGTTCATGCTACCGTTATTGCCCAGCCGTGGGCCCCTGCCGTGCACACCCCTCCCGTTCTCACCTCGACCTATATCTCCAAAGCTCCTCTCGCCCTGCACTAGAAGAGCCCAGCATAAACTCACCACCACCACCGAGTCTCACGACGACACAGCCCTGGAAGAAAAGAAAAAAAAGACAAAAAAAGTAAACACATACATCCTCCACTTCCTCGACCGAAATTGTGCTCGTGAAAGGAAAGACCACGGCTCGAAGAAAGACAAAAGGCAGAAAAAAAATTGAACGCCCCCGGCCGATTTCGACTACCCCATCTCACTCGCCATTGCGTGAATCATCATCGTCATCAGGCCCACGATCGAGCATGCGGTGAAGCGGACCAATCGGGACTAATATTCCAGGATCGGTCAAT